TCAACCATTTCCATAACTTTTGAGATTATTTGCTTTTCTCCTGTTAGAGATTTCCCATTTTGTTTCTCTTTCTCAACTACTTTACACGCTTCTGCATATGTTACTTTCTGTGCTACTTTTGTTTTCTGTACAATTGTTTGTTGTTTCATTACTTCGCACCCCCAAAAGGCTACACTGTGCTCCCCTCCGCAACTACAGCACTTTGGTTTGACTCCAACTCCACATTTACCATATTCATGGTCTCCAGAACAACGGGCACATCTCCTTTTCCCCTTACACATTTTTGCAATATGTCCAAATTCTTGACAGTTGAAGCACCTCACTGGTTTTGGCATGTATTCCCTGACACTAAATCTTATCAAGCCAAAGAAAACCTCCCTTGGCATTTCTTTTGTTTCAAATTCCAACAACACCGTTTCTGTTTCAATCCTCTCTGCACCCCTTGTCATTCTCCGTGCTCCTTTTATTTCCTTATTTCTTTCTTTTAAATTCTCAACTAAGTCCTTCATGTTAACACTCAACGGGACTCCTGTGATAATTCCTTTGCTTTCATTATTTATTTTTTCACCCACTTTCACAACTGCTCTAATTTTGACTTTACACAACCCTCCAAGCTTTTTTGCCTTTTCAACTTGCCCTTCCGAATTACATCCAATCAAAAGATTTCCATCTCTCAGTATCTTAGCGTGTTTAATTTCCCCAATATGTGCTTTAAGTGCTTTCGTTAGTTTAAGTGGATCAATCTTCTTGACTCCATCTCCTTCATCAAATCTTATTATAATGTTCAGGTTTGGTCTTTTTGGCGCTTCTTTTCCTTCCTCAGTTCCTTCATTATCGGTGTCTTCAGTGCTTTCCTCATTTCCTTTTTTCCTCTTTCTTTCAGCAGGACGCTGCTTCTTTCCATCCTTTCCCACCATTTCCCACTCTTATCTTCATTCTGTCCACTCCTTCCTTTCTCATCACTACAATCCATACTATTACAGTCACTTCTTTCTAAAGCCATCGTTGTCATGTTTCGACTTAAGTCGCATTTACCACCGCGAGCTGCCCCTCTAGCCAGGCAGCTAGAAGTTGTCAAGTTTGTTCAACGTCCTCTCTCTTCCGCCTTCTCCCCTAGGTCAAACATGGACCGGATGTGCGCTTTTATTGTGAAAGCAGCACGTAAATGGGTGTACCATAATATCTTGAGCTACCGCGCACTTGTATATTGTGTGAGGCTAGCTTTACCGCGGTGAGTTTTCAACCTAAAACTACACAACGGCATGATCTAAGGTAAGATTAGCTGCTCGTGTCATACCTCTTTGTTTTTAATATGATTTTACACGAAGGCACGAAGGCAGATCTTCGTGTAAATCAAGTGGTAAAACGAAAGTTTAAATTGAAAAACGAAAGTATAAATTTTAATTTGGATCGGGGTTCTGTTCTGTAGTTTAGGGATTAGCTTTTAAACAACGGCTGTGTATTGTCGAGAGAAGTAACAAGTTTTTTGGCTGGTTGGTCGGTCGGGCACTTTAAGGCGAAGTTGTAGTCTCGCTCTTGAAAGTTGAGTGCAGGATCAGGCGCCATCTTATCTTGGTGGCCACAGAGTGTTAGGCCTAATCACGAGGACAGGTCTAGACGAAGCTGAAGTTGGTTTCGAGTTCAAGCTTCCAATAGCTAAAGGGGGATTCCACTTAATTTTTCACTACTTTCCGCATCTTTAATCAACTCTAGTTTAAAAACTACTACACCTAGGCTCTTCAAACCTGGACTAGAATATTCTCGACTAAGAACAGAATATTTAGAACGATGTTTGGGATTTGTGAAACTTTTATCTGATTTGTGAAAACTCAATGAAGTTCAATTTTCACAATTTTTTGGCATCTGGATAACCATATATCTACTCTAATTAAAAAACTACAACTCCTAGACACTTCAAACCTGGACTAGATTATTCTCCTCTTCAAGCTGGGTATTTTAAACCTTGCTTGTGATTTGTGAAACATTTTCCTGATTTGTGAAAACTCAGTAAAGTTCAATAATCACCATTTTTTTTGGCATTTGGGTCACACTAGAACTGGTCTAATTCCAAATCTACAACACCTAGACTCTCCAAACTTGGACTAAATTATTCAGCTCTAGAATATTTAGAATCATGTTTCTGATTTGTGAAACTTCCCTTGACAGACCCCTGCAAAAGATCTTTCCTTCCAACAGCCATCACCATCTACAATAACTCTTTGAAAAATTAATGAGTTACACCAACATTATATTTCCCATTGGGATTAATAAAGTGGTTTTGAATTAGAATTGAATTTGAAAAAAACTGCATGGAACATATATGAATAGTAATCTGATCTTTAGTGAAGTTTCACAACTCGCATAAAGGTTTCACAAATTCCAAACATGGATTAAAATATTCTGCTATTAGAGCACAACAATATAGTCCAGGTTTGAAGAGTCTAGGTCTTGTAGTTTTGGAATTAGAGCAGCTCCCGTGTGATCGAGACCGAAAAATAGGGCAAAATTGGCCTTTTTTGAAGTTTCACAAATCAGAAAAAAGTTTCACAAATCCCAAACATGGTTCTAAATATTCTGCTTGAAGAGAAGAATAATCTATTCCAGGTTTGAAGTGTCTAGCTGTAGTAGTTGTTTAATTAGAGCAGATGATCCAGATGAAAAAATTGGTGAAAATCGAACTTTACTGAGTTTTCACAAATCCCAAACATGGTTTTAAATATCCAGCTTGAAGAGGAAAATAATCTATTCCAGGTTTGAAGTATCTAGGAGTTGTAGTTTTTTTTAATTAGAGTAGATCTATGGTGATCCAGATGCCAAAAAATTGTGAAAATTGAACTTCATTGAATTTTCACAAATCAGATAAAAGTTTCACAAATGTGGTTCAAAATATTCAGCTTGAAGAAAAGAATAATCCAGTCCAAGTTTCAAGTGTCTAAGTGTTGTAGTTTTTAAACTAGAGTTGATTAAAGATGCGGAAGGTAGTAAAAAATTAAGTGGAATCGCCCTTTAGCTATTGGAAGCTAGAATTGGAAACCAACTTCAGCTTCGTAAGGTCTTGTGCGAAAATCTGTTCCCCTCTGAAAATGTTTCCCCTTCGTCGGGAGCGCGCACTGCTGCCAGAGAGGCTGATCCAGCGGATCTGACCGTTTTGACTGCGCTTCTGATCGATTTCTCGGTAAACTAACTCGTAATCCTGTCAAGGTTCTAACTTTCATTTTAATCAGCAACTAACAAAATTGTAAAATAAATAAACGAGGTCTTGTGTGGAGGTCTTCTTGCACCCTTTTGTGTTGTTTTTTAATCGCCAAGAGAATCGATCTTTTTCCAACTTTTGTCACTTAAGCCTGACAATTAAAAGTCAGACATCAAACACGGGTTTCCAACACATTGTGCATATTTCTGAGTTTTCATTACTGATATAAGAGGATAGAAGCTGGCTGACAGCAGGGCACAAAAAATTAAGACTTCCTGTTAAGATGAGCGTGTAGGCTTTCTGGTAAATCCTGTTATGTAAAATATGACAGATTTCTGGATAAAAGAAATTTCTAGTTAATCTTTGGTAGCTCAGTCATACTGTCACACATAATCATTGAGATTTTGAAAACATTTTGTCATTATTTGCCAAAGTTACGAGGCGAGAACCAATTATTTTAGCTGCCTGAAATAACCTTTTCCCCTCCAGAACATGGGAACAAATAATTTTTTCACAAACTCTTCAACTCTGCTTAGTCCCCTCTTCATCAACAACAAATCCTGTGATTTTGGTTACATTTTTTCTTTATATGCCAAAGTTACTTGGGAGGAACCAATTATTTGAGCTGCCTGAAATAAGCCGTCCCCCTTTATCACATGGTGTTATGACTCCGTCAAGTCGAAGAGTAATAAACAACAAGTGTGAAGTTAATTAACAGTATTTATTGTTACACAAATAACAATAAATGTTACTTTATTGTTAATGAAGTTAACTGGATTTCCCGCTAACTTCATTCATTTGCTGTCAATCTGATAACATTCAATCCCAATTTAAACACCACTTCATGCAGACAAACCTGTGTAAACCACTACAATTGTTCACTGCAAACTTATGATGCATTCGACTCACTGCAGAATGATTACATGCAATCCAAACTCAAGATCAGACTCCAAACAGGATCGGGTCTCAGATATTTAAGATTAACAGTCCAAAGACAAGACGCAGGACATACAGAGATAAAATAAATGGAAAATTGTTAGCCCGCCCTCACATATTCTAAGCGAAGACAATCAATCCAAAAGCTGGGCAGACTAACAAAAAAGAATATCAAACTCTAAAGGACAGCAGGAAGCAGTGATTGAACTGTAAAAACAAAAATATAAAAAATACTAAATGTTTATGAAATCACTTTAATCAAATCAATCTAAAACACTGCACACCTACATCGCATAAAGCGTCACTCGTCCAGTCAAATTTGAAGGCTCTGGTATAGCCCTACCAAATAAAAATCAACAATATAAAAAACAAATGCATACAAAACAATCTGATTAAAAAGACAAATGTGTAAAGCCTACCTGCAGAGTTGAATAACCACACGCCCAGGCAACGCTACCATTGGAACGTCACTAATGGGGTAGCCCTGTATGAAAACACCATATCAGCACATACTGCGATATTAAAAGGATCGATTTAACACAATTTTATCACAGTATCCACACACACCTGGTCACACACAGGAAATTGACCACCACCCTTTTATGGAAGCTCAGGCTGTAAGGAGGATACAACACCTTCTGGTGACACCTGTTACAATGAGAACAAATTCATTTACCAGCAAGTCTTTAACTCTGCTTATTCCTCTCTTCATCAACAACAAATCCTGTGATTTTGATAACATTTGTGACACCAAGGTTCTTCAATATTGAACCTGTTCACAGTATCTAATATTCTGAGATAGTGAATTTGGAGTTTTCATTAGTTATAATCATCAATACTAAAGGAACATTTAAAACATATCAGCCTGTATGTAATGAATGAATATAATGTACAAGTTTCACTTTTTGAATGGAATTATTGATTTACACCAACTTTCTCATGATATTCTAATCTTATGACCAAAACCTACAGAACTTGTATTTCTTTTCCAGTAGTTGACTTGATGCCTCAATGTGTATGTTCATAGAAGATTGGCATTACTAATGTTTAGCTATTTATAACAAATCATATAATCACTTCAACATTCAGTAACAAAATCACATATTGCATGCTTTCCCAATATCCTGCAGCCCTGCTTCATGCTAAAGTCTCCTGAGTTCCTACAGGTTAACTGTGTGTTTGTTTCTTTGTTTCTTGTCTTGCAGATGAAGACTTTCAGCATTCGGAGTCACAGTTTGGTTCATCCTGCATTTCCATGAGATGATGTGTTCAGCTCCAGAGAAGTTTAATCCTGTCTTTAACAATGATGTGTTGGGTGGCAAAATGTCTGCTACTGGTAAATTTATTTATGACATAAAAATTGATATTTTATTAGAATACAATTTTTTTTAAATGCTATTTTTAATGGTGGCCAAAGGTAAACTTAGTGTCTATATAATCAGATCCATTTACTTGCACTTTCATTTTAAGTCAGTGTCTTGAAAACAAATGCCTTTTTTGTGGTCTGACACCAGTTTGTGTTTAAAAAATGCCGAAGCAGAAGCATATTACGTTTTGAAGGAAAGTACACAGTTTGTTGACCAACAGAGTGCACTACTTAGTTTAGCTTTGCCTCCATCTGCTGTTTTACCACTTTTTGTTACTACATAGAAGTCAATTCATGACCAGGACAAAGTATTCTTGAAGATATGACAGAAGGAGTCTCCCAGCTAAACTGTTTCCAGATAAACACATCAGTATGAAGCCAAGATAATGTTGTGTCAACAGTTTTTTCCCGGATCTTAAATTAAGATCCAGAACTTTCCCTATGTGGTCGGTTGTGGTGACACATCCAAAGGAAGAGAAGGAGCAACAGGATGAATCTAATGATGGAGTATTAAACAGTCTTGTGCTGGCAGAGAGGAACAAAATGGTTTACAGTTCACACCATAATGCATTTATATACAGAAGTGTGAAAAAATGTTAGTCCAATTCCTGATTTCCTTTGTTTTTTTTTTACATATTTGTCA